GTAGTCAGAACAATACTGTTAAAATGAAAGATACATAGATCAATGAATGGAACAGAATGGCGACCCTAGAAGAAATCCATCCACAAATGTATAAGAGTTTAAAAAAGGATATTTGTATATGGGTATTTACCTTTCCTACAGATATACTACTATGAATGTGGTGAATCATACAATGGGCAAAATAATGAAAACTTTATAGATATTATCAAACATCTTAAGGCAATGAGGTGCTGAGCCTGGGGGCTCAGGACCATAGTCTCGGGGCAATTGGTATAGCATAGTCCACAAAGACAATGTTCTATATCCTACTTTGGTGAATACCATGTGGGATTGAAGCTATTGGTCTCCATATGCAGAAGAAAGACGAGTGATGAGAACCGCAGTGGCTTGGAGTCAGTTTGTCCAATGGACCATTTGCACATCAGTCTCCATGACGCTGAGATCATAACTACTAGATGGTGTGCAGCTCCCACTACCAACTGCTCTGAAAGTCTTAAATAGAGTTGGAGAAAATGTGGAAAAAACCCTCTAAATTGTATTTTATGAAAGACCAGACTTACTGGCCAGAAAGAGACTGGAGGAATCTAAGACAATGGCTCTCGTCCACCCTTCAGGTCTTGGAAAGGTGGCCTAATTTTCAGCCAAGTAGTAGATAGGTATGTAGGGAGCACACCACCACCTACCTATAAGGTATGCTCACCATGGAATGGTCAATCATTCAAAACCAAAAGGGCAACATTTAAGGAAGGACAAATTTGAGAAGGGATGGGAAGGAGGGTGGAATCAAATAGGAACCGCAGGGAAGAAGTGGGATACTTGTTGCATGGAGGGGATTGTAATCATTGAGATGAAGCACACTGTAGGATTTGTTGAATGTAAAACTGATCATCTTCTTTGTAAACCTTCACTCAAATCACAATAAAAAGTAAAAAAAAAATAAATAAATAAACGGTGACTTCTAAATGATCACCATTTCTATGCCCATTTAAAGTTCCAATTCTCCAACTCCTTGTTTATTGCCTGCAAGTTGTCTAATTTGAAATTTCGTCAATAGTTATGGAGAAATATCTAAAGCAATCAGATGTTGTTTCATTAGCCTTGATGCAGTTTTATGTAAATATCAGTGTTCTGTCTGTTAAATTATGGTTTAATAAAACAGTAAAATAGAACATAAGTGAAATAAATTATTCATTTCCTTCAGGAGACCAGCTAGGTTTCATCCATACCTTAAGTTTCTTTAAGTGAGGGTATGTTTGAAGGCATTCATTTTGAGGGTGGTGGTAGTTGTGAGCCAACGAGTGGATTCCGACTCACTGATCCTGTATAGGATTTCCCAGACTGTCAATGTCTACGGCAGCAGAAAGCCTCATCTTTCTCCCACAGAAAGGCTGGTAGATTCTAACTGTTCATCTTTCATTTAGCAGCCCAACTGGGAACCCTCTACACTATCAGGGCTCCTCCATTTTGGAGGGTTGTTGTTGTGAAGTGTCACTGAGTTGGTTCTGACTCATAGCTACCCTGTATAGGGTATTTGAGGAGTGGCTGGTGGGTTTGTGTGGTTAGCAGTCCAGTGCTTATCCTACAGTGCCACACCAGGATTCCTTTGGGGGGTGTTGTTGTTGTTAAGTGCCATCTAGTCAGTTCCAATACAGAGCAACTCAGTATAGAATTTCCTTGGAGCGACTGGTTTGTTTGAACTGCCGACCTTGTAGTTCAAACCAACCTCCCAATCCTGCCTTTATCCTACAGTGCCACACCAGAAGTCCTACAGTTTACAAATTAATAGAAACTGTATGCAGTATCTATCTAATTTTTGTGTTTCCTTCATGATTACACAGCCTATTTTCAATCCTTAACTATCATTATTTACTGAATTTGTATTTTAATTCTCTTTAATCCATTTATCATTTAAAATGTAAAGTATTGCATTCTAAATTTTACCAGCCAACATTTCTCAAATACCCACTTCAAAGGAAATTGACTCAAAAGAGAGAAAATGCATTATTTTCTTTCAAAAAGTATACCAGCTATTTAGGAAGGCAGCACACACCCAGATGAAATAATGATAAATTGCCTGGTGTGGCATTTTAGGATAAGCACTGGACTGGTAACCACATGGTTGGTGGTTCAAACCTATCAGCTGCTCCTCAGAAACCCTAGATAGAGTAGCTATGAGTCAGAACGGACACAAAAGCACTTAACAGCAACTACAACCCTCCAAAATGAAGGAGCCCTGGTAGTGTAGTGGGTTCCCAGTTGGGCTACTAACCAGCAGTTTGAATCTACCAGCAGTTCTGTGGGAGAAAGATGAGGCTTTCTGCTGCCATCAACGCTGACAATCTCTGAAATTCTATACAGAATAAGTATGAGTCTGAATACACTGGAATGGTGGATACCTTCAAATTGAAGACTTTCAAAAAATGAACAATGTTTATGGGAAACTAGCTAGAAAAATTAACAGAATCAGGCAGGATACTCAAAAAAGCTTCCTGAAGGCAGTGGAATTTACAAGAAGCACACATTTGGATTAAGGAAAAGTTGTGAGAGGATATGTTAGACAAAGAGGATAATTGTTTTTAGTGCTCAGGGAGGAAAACTGACTTTATTTCAGATAGTTTTAGAATCATTAAAACGATCTGCTCATCTCTTTATGTGTTTTAAAATGTAAGATTAATAGGAAAAAGTATTTAGCAACAATGTATCTACCTCTTATTTCTTCTACTTTATCTACAACCCTAGCTATATTTTCTTCATACAGGATGATAACCTTTTAAAAACTACTGCCATCAAGTGGATTCTGACCCTTAGCAACCCAATACAGGGTTTCCAAGAGTGTAACTCTTTTATGAGTAGAAAACATCATCTGTCTCCCTCTGAGTGCCTGGTGGGTTTGAACTACCAACTTTGCAGTTATCAGCCAAGTGCCTAACCCACAGCACCACCGGGGCTGCTTCCATACAGAATAGCTCCCAAATATTCTAATATTGGCTGCTTTTATTGCTTTTTTGGCCCCCAATTTTACTTGCTAAATCATTTTCTTCTCACTAATGTATAATTTTTTTTTGCCTTGTTTTTTAGATGACACTAAATAATTATAGACCAGGCAGAGTTTATATACTAGCTACATGATTCCCATCTACCATCTGTGGTTTTTTTTTTTTTTTAAACTCCTAAATGGAACAACTTCCTTCCAAAAAATTTACAGCAGCCACATGCTGCTATTTATGGTCATTTTAGAGATAAAATTCCAAAAACTCAAGTAAGCACTTACATTTTATAAGAGCTGCCTCCACGTCAGTGTTGGAGAATTGAAACTAACATCCCACTGTGTTCCCTGAAATGGGGGTCTAGCTGCTCTAGCTATCATTGACTGAGAAACTGCTGCAGTAAAGTACAGAGAGATTTCTGTGATGCAGAGCAAAGGTGACTTCCTGTTTTGTTTTAGGTTTTGTTTCATTCTCTTCTCAATGAGGGTTGTGTTTCTGACATTCTGCAATCCTTTTGCTCTGTGATTTCCCATTGGAAGTACCCTAAGTGAGTGCCTTTGCAGGTCATTTCATTTATAATCTGCTCTGAAAAGAGAGGGGTGGGAAGAGGGAGGGCTCATTAGTAGAAGTAGCAGACCACAGTGGAATCTGTTTTCTATTTCTTCCTCTAGACTAAACTCATCTGGGGGGGCGGAGGGGGGAGAGACAAACTTAAAACTAATCAATCAATCATCTAGCTGTCTCATCACAATCATCATTACCTGTGTAGTGTAGTTTTCCTACACCTTTCTCCCAAGTGCTAGGTGAAATTGCTGGTGAGAAGAGTTAGATAATGTGTTATTTTATTTTAGTGAGTAAAATCAGAAAGAAGAATGAGTACTTTAAAAGCAGTTCGTTTCCAAAAGTTCTGATATTGCAAGACAAAGAAAAATTTAAAAGAAAAAATCTCCCTACTCCTTCCTTGCTATTTGTACATATGTTCTTCTCTTTTTATGAAAGGCAGCTTTCCTCCACCTGAACATTAAAAAAAAAAAAAAAAACGCAAACGTTTGTCTCACGAAGTTTTGGATTGACAAGACTCCACCTCTATTCCAAGCTGTTTGTGTTTTCTGTGACTTGAACGTTTAAGTGACATTGCTTGAACCTTTCCCACATTAGATCTGTTTCTGCAGTTTGTTTAAAAGGAGTAGCTCCAGGGACTGGGGTGGATTTCCAAGTGGGGAACTGAGAAGGGGGATTAGGATGGGCTCTTCGTTGAGGTGCTAGGCGCTCATCTTTGGGGATCAAAGATTACCCAGTGGGGGACAAGACAGGCTCCCCAATGCTAGGGTGGGGTGAGGCGATCTTCCTAAGACGGTGTACGACACGAGTCAGCGAAATGTTGGATAATGTCATCCTCGCTATTTCTCAAGGCTCCCCTCCCAAAACCCTATCAACCCACAGACCTTCTCTTCCTCGACCCCCCCACCCTTTTCCGGGGAAGAGCTTGGGCGTCGGAGGGCCAGCAAGGCTTGGCGGGGCGGAGCTCCCTCTGTGGCCTAGAGGTGGGGAAGTGAAAAGCAGCGGAATCCGAGGCTCAGACCTCCCAGCGAGGCTCCCCCGGCTGGTCCCCTGGCCAGTGGCAGCCTCAGCGGCGGAGGCAATCCACTCCAAGAACTAGATCTTCAGTCTACAGACTTGCAAACTCCGACTGCATCCTTTCATTAAGGAGTTCCTCTCTCCCCACCTCTGGTTTCCCTTCTATTTTTCTCTCCCTCTGCCTCGCCATTACTTAGGAAAATTTAGTGCTGTTTTTAGCACCTTTTGTGCTCTGGGATCCGTGACACCCTAGATCTCCAGCTACCTCTGCTGAATTCTACTTTTGTTTTTATTTCTCCCTCGCTTCCTCTGGTTTCCCTCTCCTTGACTGATCTGTGAGGTCTGGCGCTTTTGCCAGAGCCAGCGGAATAAATAGGTGCTGCCGCCCTAGACGTCGGGAAAGAGTTACCAGAGCAGGAGTTGCAAAAGCTGCGGTGGAACTGGGGGCAGCTCGTGGGACCCCATTGTGGGAATTTGAACCAAGGAAACTGGGAGATTGTAGGGGGAGGAGACGCTCCCAGATCACTGTGTCCACCTAAGGGTGGAGGAGGAGACCGCGGACGGCCTCTCGACGTCCACGCCATTGCTGCATGCTGTCCCGTCCTGCTGGGAGCATGGTCTGCGGCAACCGGGAAGGGATGCTTCTGCTGTTGCGGACCGGGCTGCTCGCCCTGGCTGCGTTCTGCTTGCTCCAGGTGCCCCGAGTCCAAGCTGCAGCCTGTGAGCCCGTCCGCATCCCCCTGTGCAGGTCTCTCCCCTGGAACATGACCAAGATGCCCAACCACCTGCACCACAGCACCCAGGCCAACGCTATCCTGGCCATCGAGCAGTTTGAAGGTCTGCTGGGCACCCACTGTAGCCCGGATCTGCTCTTCTTTCTCTGTGCTATGTACGCTCCCATCTGCACAATTGACTTCCAGCACGAGCCCATCAAGCCCTGTAAGTCTGTGTGCGAACGGGCCCGGCAGGGCTGCGAGCCCATCCTCATCAAGTACCGCCACTCATGGCCCGAGAGCCTGGCCTGCGAGGAACTGCCGGTGTACGACCGGGGCGTGTGCATTTCTCCCGAAGCCATCGTCACCGCGGATGGAGCTGGTAAGTCCTGTCACAGCGGGACCTTTCCTCTGCGCTCTGCTCGTTTTCACTCTCTTTCTTTTCTCTTCTGGTCACTCCTCTCTCCAGCACCTTTTGATCTCTCCTTATTATTACCCTTACAAACGGATCCCTTTTATTCTGATAGCCACTGTTTCTAAACTACCCCATTCATTCCACGTAGGTCACGTTTTCATTCAATAGTGACTTTTCACTTTCCACTCTGGGAGGTCAAAGTGACCGCATTTTGCATGGTGATGCTCTTTTCTTATTTTCTTAATGTGTTAATTATCATTGAGCTTTCTTGCCCCATTCTTGTGACTTTTCAGCCATCAAGTATTCTCTTTAGTGTTTTAGCTGCTGTTTAAAATTGTGCGCAGAAAACTGAAACCCCATTTTCTTCTAATGTCTAAAAATGCCAAGATAATTTTAGTAACCTTACTCCAACCCACAGATGTTAGTGGTATGTGTTTGCTCAAAATCCAATTTGAGCAATTACCTTCACCTAAAATTTCCTTCTCCATTCAATGAGATAAATTGTTCTTCCATTCCAGACTGGAACAGCTGTGAAACATAGCTGTGCACTGCTAATTAGCTTCTGTGACTTGCTCCAGCCTAAGAGCTGGAGGAGGGAAATTGCTGGGCTCTTTTTCCTCATGCCCACATGCCTTCTAGTCATTTTGTAAATGGCATATGGATGAAAGGGGTTATATTTAAGGCTTGTTATCATCATGCACTCATGTAATGGTATTTTTAATCTTATACCTTTACTCCCCTACATAAGTTATTCATTTTTATCTTGCTCTTACACTCGCCAAGTAACTTGTCTTTAGTTAGGTTCCTCATTTTATGCCCTTTTTCAGTGACAGTATCAACCACACATTCATTTCAATCCTTCTTTCTCTGCCATAAAACTTTATTGCAGTTCTACATTTAATGGAATCAGTCAGTTATTTTCACACCAGTGTTTGGTCGAGTTAATGACATTCAAAACACTCAGACTCCAACTAAACCTAATTCACTATTGTCCATTTAATTCTAATTCAGTATCATTCTTACCTACTAACCCAGACCTCAAATTTCATACTTAATATACTTTAAAAATAAACCCTGTCATTTATGAGCAGTTGTCTTTCACATCCCCAACTTTTAAGATGCGCCTACCTGCTTGCTGTTCCTATTCATGTCTTGGGCATCAGTTTGTTTCTTTCTCTGCCTCTTAGCAACTTCAGACGAAGTTCCTATCCTTAGTTCATTGCTAGATAGTAGTTTTTAGTTATCAGGGAACTTATTTAGAAAAAGTAGGGACGCTTCTCCTGCTACTTAACACACATAAGTGAGCAGGGAAGCAGGAGATACAAATAATTAGAAAACCAAAACTGAACAGAAAAACTTCAAGGATGGTCACTTCGCTTTTGATGTATCTATTTTTATAATTTTAATCAAGAGCCAGAAGTTGATTATATAAAATAATAAGAAATACATTACTGATCTGTGGGCTAAAAGAGCACCCTTGCATCTCTGTTCTTCCTAAAGCAATTAGCTCTGCAGACTTGGGAAGCGCTTAAAGCAATTGTTTCCTTGGTCCGTCAGGCACTTAGAAGTAGTTGGATACAATTGTTGTCTCAGGCCCGAGGGCTTGGAGTGAGTGGCTTTGGTTCCGGATGAAACACATGTCTTCCCTTAAAGGAGAAGATACTTGCTTAAACCTCCTTCAAGAGATGAACCCCCAAATGAAAGATTTGGCAAGGTTAATGGCTCTCAAATATTATTCTATTCAGTATTAAGTGAAAGCAGTTTCATTAAGTTCTCCTGAGTTACTTATCACTGTAGACCAAATTGTTTCATGGAAGCTCTTTAAGGGCGGAAATGTTCTGTCAGTTCATGGAGCTTAATAGCTGAGCTTATTTAAAGTGATATATATAATTTTGACAACATCCTTGCTAGAAGAATAAAAAGTAGGTGGCAGTTGGAACCATATTTTATTGATGACTCCCACCCCTGTTTACCATAACTTCCAGCATGAACCTTAGACTATTGTGGCAGGTAGGGATAGAGGGGAGATGTGGGTGGAGAATGAGGATATGAATTCTAGTCTGAAGGGTCCCCTGGCTTCCAGGGTTAGCTTGCTGAATATTACAATGCCTGTGCTGGGTCGAATTGTCAGACACCAAGAATTGTTTACCTGTGGAGTCCTGGTGTGGCACTGTAGGATGAGCACTGGATTGCTAACCACAATGTCAGTAGTTCAAACCCACTAGCCATTCCAGGGAAACCCTCTGTAGGGTCACTATGAGTCTGAACTGACTTGATGGTACTGAACAAGCAACTGCATGTGGACACTTTAATCTAAGATGCAATATATTTTGAGGTCCAGTGGGATATGATAATTCACAAAGGAAGTTTTTTAATGGAATCTCTGTGTTTTATGACTAGAATCTATCCTGGACAGATATAAAATCGAGGACTCCTTGGATAAAATGTGATAAACAGCCTTTCACATTCCTACAATGTCAAGAGAAAATTTCAAATCTTATTATTCATGTGGAACGGTTTCTCCATAATACATTGACTCCACAAATGAGCTGAGGACATTTAAAAAAGCCAAGTTCTATTGAGATGAATATGTTGCTTCAAATGATTTTTGCCTTCAAAATACTTAGGTAAACATGTTTTTATAGCACAAAGGACACATCATGACTATTACTAATGAATTTTCATGGTATTCTTAGATATTCTATATGTGCTACATGGCTACATGCTCAACTGCTTTAAAGTAATTATCTGAGAATTCAACTCAATTTACTCATTTAACCAGTTAAGACATTTAGTCTAATCTTTATTATGGCACAGTGAGTAAAGAGATTATAATTGGAGTCAAACCAAGCAGGGTTTAAACATGACTCTTCCCATGTTTGATTCAAAGTTTTCTTATCTGTAAAACAGGGACAATGCCACCTTATATCCCAGGGGCCTGGTAAAGATTAAACTGACTAACATATCTAAAGTATTGAGTACAATAGTTGGTACACAGATGCTCTTAACAAATTGTTACTGCTGGTTTTGTTTTGTGTTTTAACTACTATTGTTATTGTCATAGGAAATTAAGTGACTGTTTTTTAGTGGCTTATGTTAAGAAATGCAGAAACAGCCTAGAATTTTTTTATCAGTTCGGCTCTGGGAGACAAGCTTTTCACTGGAACCTATTTGGAAAAGCGATTTGATTTCTTCTGTATATATAAAAGTTATATTCATGTCACACAAATAGACATGGACCTTAGACTCAAGAATGAAATACTCAGAGGACAACCAACGAACCAACCAAACAAACAAACAAAAAGCCTGTGTATGCCTGTTAATTACAAATCGTTTACCTCAGAAATCAAGCTTTGAAAGAAATGTATGGCATGATATGTAACGGCTGCTTATACAACAGCCAGAGTTTTCTATGCCAAGGATCTATAATCACTCCTCAGTCATAGCTGGTTTTCGTGGTAGTGCTTACTTGTCACTCCAGCTCTTGCTCAATAGATTTCTCTAGGCCTTCTCCCGACTGGCAGGGCTGCGCCAACTTTCACATGCATGAACCGCTGTTTAATCGTTTCTCCACTCTCTGAAGAACAAGCAGCCTTTTCTTTAGCCCCGGTCTACAAATATTTGTGGGGCCAAATAGCAAGAGGGAAGAATTATTTAGTGTGATATGAGGAAGAAAACGGAATGGGAAGGAGAAATGGAAATTTTAGATTAAGATTGCAAAGAAAATACTAAGGATTCTTCATCATGTAAAAAGGCACTCTGCATGGAATTGTTGTTGTTGTTGTTGTTGTTGTTAAATGCCATCGAGTCGGGTCCGACCCATAGCGACCCTGTACAGGGTTTCCGAGGGTGGAAATCTTTACGGGAGTAGAAAGCCTCATCTTTCTCCCGCGGAGCGACTGGTAGTTTCGAACCGCTGACCTTAAGGTTCGCAGCCCGATTCGTAACCACTACGCTACCAGAGCTCCTTAGGGAAGAATATTTCAGAGTGTTATGGTATTTAACTTTATTGACCATTAATTTGATTATCAGTGGTAATAAATAGAATCTTAGGAAGATATGTCATTTGATACTATGTAGTCCTCAAACCTTAATCATTAATTTTTACTGTAATTTCTACCAAACTTTCAAATAGTTGTTGCTATAAAGGGAAAAATTGACTCAGTTATATTTGGACTTTCTCTTTATATTGATGTTGTTGTTAAGTTTCCATTGAGTTGGTTCTGACTCATATTGAGCCTCTGCACAAGAGAATGAATGCCGGGTCCTGCAACCATCCTCACAATTGTCCTTATGCTTGAGGACATTGTGCCAATTCATCTTGTGGTGGTCTTCCTCTGTTTTGCTGACCCTCTTTATCAAACATGATGTCCTTTTTGGGACACTGGTTCCTCCCCCCCCCCCTTTTTAAAAACTTTTTAAAATTGAGATTTAAGTGAAGGTTTACAGACAAGATCATTAGTTTTACATTCAAGAAATCATACACTTTGTTTCATCTAAATTTGCAATCCCCTCCATGCAACAACAGTTATCCCACTTACTCCCTGGGGTTCCTTTTTCCATTGCACCCACCTTCCCATTTCTTCTCAACTTTGTCCTTAGGGAAATGTTGCCCTTTTGATTTTGAATGACTGACCATTCCGTGGTGAGTATACCTTACTAGTGTTGTTGTCCTCCCTATATATCTACCTACTACTTGGCTGAAAATTAGGCCACAAGAGTGATTGGTTGAGGGTCATCATCTCAGGTTCCTCCAGTCTCTTTCTGACCAGTAAGCCCAGTCTTTTTAAAAATTAAGTTTTGTTCTACATTTTCTGTCACTCTATCTGGGACCTTCTAATGTGATCCATGTTAGAGTACTTGGTAGTGGTAATTGGGCACCATCTAGTCCTTCTGGTCTCAGAGTCATGGTTACTGATATTCACATGTTCCATTGGTCCATCAGACTATTTAATTCCAAGTGTCTT